ATCCTTTCTTTTTTTTATTTTTCCAATTTTTTATTTTATTTTTTGTTTAATTTATTTAGCCGTTAACTACAAGTTTCATGAATTAAAATGTATTAAAATGGAAAGGACAAGAAGAAGACACTTTCGTCTTGTCACCTAGTCATTTATTTATAAACTCACGCATTAAATTCATTGTAATTAAAAATAAATAATGAAAATAAAAAGAAAAATTTTTTTCAAAAGAAGTTTGAAAAAATGCAAAATTAATAAAATTCTTAACTTTTAAAAAAATATATTAAACTTCAGAAAACTATTTTAAAACTGCAATTGACAAGATTAAACACTTTTTAAAAACTACTTCAAAGCAAATTATAATGAACAAATAATTTAAACTTAATATAAACATAATAATAACTTAAATACAAATGCTTTTTTAAATTGTAAAAAAAATAAATAAATAATAAGTTATAGAGGGTTATCAAAAATGAAAAATTTATAATAACAAATTAATGTTATAAAAGTTTCGGAATTCAAGTAAAAATCAAGAATTTAAAATCAAAACAACAAAAATCTCGGCGATCTGTTTTTTGAAATTTAACAGTAGTTAGTGGAAGTGAATTACCAATATTTTGCAGTTTTTATTCTGTTCTGCTCACCTTAAAAAGCATAACTTTTTACTGCTTTATTTTGTCTTATTTTTTAATTGTTTTCTGTTTTAAATTTTTAAAATATAAGTTTAAGTAGTAACTGAAAAAAATCTCAATATCATATTTTGACTTCAAGTTATACAACATCGAGATTGTGTATTATGTTGGAATATTCTTGTATTTCGTCGGGATATTTTATTTTCATAAATATTAAAATATTCCGTCAAGATATTTTATGTTTGATTTATTTATTAACATTTGAAGAATATTTAAATCTTTTTCAGTGGGCATGGGACGTAAAAAAGACGTCTTTAAAACATCTTTGAACGTTCAAATCACGTCTTTTTTAGGTCCTGTGCTTACTGGGTGTTATGGTTATCATTCTTAGTACTTACTTATGTATTTTATTTAGTATTTATTCAGTTTTATTTTTTTTAATATATATATATATATATATATATATATATATATATATATATATATATATATATATATATATATATATATATATATATATATATATATATATATATTAATCTTATTTTTGTTCTGTGTTATACTTTGGTGTTGGCAAAAAAATGTAAATAATAAGTGTAAAAAGCTATTACTGCAATAAAAATCACGTTTACGTCATTTGAACTTTTAAAATTAAACTCATTTCACTATTATGGAATTAAATAGAAATAGTCAACTCTAATAAAGAATTTTCTTAAAAATAAATTTTTTTGTTTTTTCATTTCAAATCATATTTTAAATTTAATGCTGTAATATTTGACGTTATAATTATTCTTAACGCTTTGTGAAATACTGCACAACTTAGAGGGTGTGAAATTTACAAAATACATTGTTAAAATTTTTTAATTTTGGGAACTAATGTTTCATTTTAAACCATAGATTATTGGAAATAGTCTAAAATTCGATAGTTTTACGAATTAAAAAAAAAAATTAATTAATTTACGTTAACTTTGTTAAAAAATATTCATTAATATTAATGCCATTAACTCTCATTTGTATAAAATGCTATAATATAAATAATTATACCAAAGACTTCATTCTTTCCATACAAAATAAAGTATACATTTTATCATAATTTTCCAGGAAAGATCACTTCATAAATAAATTAGAATTCATCTTCAATTTTCTCATTAATATAGTATTCAAATATAGAAGCTACCGTACCTGTAAATGTGATATTCATAATTTAAATTATACGCAAACAAACCTGTTGTTTTCATTGAATATTTCAGGTCAAATATCAACCTATATAAGCTGGCTTCTTAAATTAAATTAAGTAGTTATTTTTCTGTGTAAAATTATTCAAAAGATTGTTTAAGCCATTTATTCATGTCTTATTACATTATTTATATCTTAAATTAGTTATCGTTTGTTATAACTACAATTATCATCAGTACTTTTTGTTTATTTTTTGTTTATGATTTCTTTATGTTTGTTTTAATATATGTTTTATGTGATTTAATTTATGTGTTCACGGTTTACTATACTTTAAAACTATACTTATTTAATTTTAACATGGATAACAGTTGCGTAATATTTCTTCCGGTCTTATAGGAATCTTAAGGTTTTAACAAAAATGATATGTTTTTATATATATCTTTGCTTATTATTACTTATATTATATTCAAAAATTGGTGTCACTGCTTTAATCAAAATTTTATTATAAATAACCTTATGGTAATAACTACCATTATAATATTTAATATCATTATTATTTTTTCATTGCAATTATTGTAAACATAATAATTATTACTATTACTATATTTTGTAATAACTTTTTTTATTTATCTTATATTATTATAATATATTATTATTATTACTATTATTTTTGTTATTATTATTATCAAACTTTTGTAAAAATGATTTACGGAAAATAAATAGCTTGTTGTTGTTGTTGTTGTTGTTGTTGTTTTTGTTGTTGTTGTTGTTGTTGTTGTTGTTGTTGTTGTTGTTGTTGCTGTTGTTGTTATTGTTGTTGTTACTTACGTAAACAGCTCTACGCTTTTATCAAAATGTAGTTTAGCTACCAGTTCTTCGAATTAATAACAATCATATTGCCCCTTTTTGCCGTAAAAACAAGACCGTTTTTTTTGTTCCTTATCTAGGTCCTTACCTCTGGAACAAATTACCAAATTTCTTACCAAAGTTATACCAAATTTTGATTTTTCTACTCAACTGACTTTTGCTTCATTCAAACAAAAACTTAAAAAAATTGTATTTTTGATTGAAAATATCTTGATTTAATTTTAACTGTTTTTTTTGTTTGTTTGTTGTTGTTCTATTTTGTACATTATTTAGTTAAACACTTTATCTTTGCTTTTTAATATTTTATTTTGGTTTTTAAATGTTTTTGCATAAAAGTGCATTACTATTTCACTACAGACATTGTATTTTTATTAACCATATATTGTATAGGGCTTCATGACAAGATCCTTATGATCTTCTAGAAGTCATGTCGTAACTAATTTTTTTTTATCTTATATTATTATAATGTTTTATTATAATTTTTATTACTATTATTATTGTTATTATTCTTATCAAACTAATATAAAACTAATATAAAAGCGGAAAATAAATAGCTTGTTGTTGTTGTTATTGTTGTTGTTGTTGTTGTTGTTGTTGTTGTTGTTGTTGTTGTTGTTGTTGGGGAATGATAATTTTTAGATTAAACATAAGTTAAAAGAGAGTGCAATTAATGATAAGCTATATAGCATTGCAATTTTTAAAATATTAATTGATTTTAGTAAAAAATTTTAAAAAAATATAAATGTTTTAGTTTTGCCTTTTAAATAACACAAAAAAAAAATCTTAATAAGACCAAAATAAACATTAATTGCAAATAACTTATAAACTCTATAATTAATATGGTTTTAAATTTAATTTACTGATTCACTGAAAAAAAAAAAAAAAAAAAAAACAGCAAAAAAAAAAAAAAAAAAAGAACTAAACTGATTCTAATTGCATAAAATTACTTTTGAAGTTTTTGAGAATTTAAATGTTTTAGTTACAATGTAAACCTGCTTTTAATGGAGTCAGGAATCACAGTTACTATTTTAATAATAGAGAAAAAGTGTGTCTTTTGGATATCAAATAAGAATGTTTTGGAAAAATTGCTGTAGTTGAAATCTAGGAACAATAAAAACCCTAAAACTTATTTTAAAAGATTTTCCTGGCGCCTCCCTCCCCATTAAACCAAAATTTAAAGGGGAATAGTTTTCTGAGTTTTTTTATTATTACTATTTTAAGCTAAATTTATATTTTACATTTTATCAAGTAATTTTAAGTGTTCAAAAGTTATGACTGTGTGAAGTTTACAGCCCCCTTGAAAGAAGATTTAACTTAATCATCAAAAAAACTGCCGCCATTTCTGGATGTAATAGATATAGACTAATTTGTCTATATACACTATATTATATTTAGTAATGGACTATGACTATATTATAGTATTTAGTAATGGACTATGAATCCGAGTGTCCCAAATTTGAATACAAAATTTTTTTTTCTAGCAACATCGTCGCGTTGGTTTGACAAGGTTATGACTGAAATTTCTTATATTAGTAAAATTAAAAATAAATCTTTTAATTTTTTTTAATGTTTAATTAAAATTATTTATATTATTTTTTTAAATTTGTTTATGTATTCTTTTTTTGATTGATGCATAAAAGGACATGAATAAATTAAGAATAATCATATAAATATTTTTATTTAGACATAGAAAAATAAGAAAAAAAAGATTTATTTGTTATTCTTCTAAAATAAAAAAAACCCTGGTAATATGACTATGGTTAAAACCTTGTCAAACCAACGCAACAATAAGTATATTTAAACTGTTCGTAACGTCCTCGATCAAAAATTAAAGAGTTTAAGCATACACGCGTTATCTCCAGGCGGTGTTAGTACAAACGCTAGCAAGTTTGCTACCATGGTGAATTCAAAAAATGTTAAGCATGAAAAACTTTTAACATGCGCGTTTCAAGTCATAAATTTACATGACTTATTTTCAAGTTGAAAGTATTTTCAAAAACAATTTCAAAAACAATTCCAAGAACAATTCCAAAAAATGTCTGCTCTATAAACAATCAAGCAACCTCACTAGAAAACCTGCATCAAAGTTTACTTTAAATTTAAAGTTGAAATTGGGATTTAAAAAGACCTCACCTATATAACCTCAAAAATATAAACTTAAGTATGAGTTTAAAACTCATTAATTATTCATGTCAAGTATATGATAAGAATGTCAAGTGTCATGTCAAGTATGTGATAAGAAATAAGATTTCTTGCGTACGTTTTAAACGCGAAGCGTTAAAAAGGAAGTTTCCCTAAGACTTACGAGAAATTCTTTCCGCTGCTTCTTCTTAACGCTTGTTTGCTCAAACTCTATAAAAATTGACTTTCATAAAAAATGAAAGTAAACATTTACTAATGCCATGTGACATTTTGACATTAAAGCTCTAAGAACGCCTTAGTTTTTTATTCTAGCAAATGAGTACAGTGGTTAATAATGTTCTTTAATGTCGAGTAATGTGTTATAAATAACAGCCTTCAAAGTCTAAATGAAATGGAGTAATTGTTACCAAAAGTGAAATATATTCAATATTTATTGTTACGAATTTATTAGGTATAATTTATAATTTTTTTGTTTAAATCTTTATTATGTGTTGGTAATTATCTTCATGTTTGATAAAATTAATTGAGCAGTTTTGCGTTTCTCACTTTTCCAAAATAAAAATAATGATTTATATCGCAAGTGGGTTTGATTATCAAGCCACTTGTACGATATAAAAGTTACACTTTTTAATATAAAAAAAATATATATATAGTCAAAACAAGTTTAGTCTTATTATAAAGCCCAATTGTTATCATTATTTTTTTTTAATTACTGAGTATGAATACGTTCATATGTTTTTATATTCTGTAAATGTAATTTAAATGAGGATGAATTCATTCATAATATGAATGAATATACATAATGAATATGAATATAAAAATATAAATAAATGTTTGTTATTTTTTAGGTGTGTCAAATTTAATATTTTATTATAATAATAGTTATAAAAAAAAAAAAAAAAAAAAAAAAAAATATATACTATATAGTATATAGTTATATTATATGAATATAGCTATATTATATGAATGATATGAATCATATCATTTGTATATTTCTTTTTATTTTATTTTAAGTTACTATTATTATAATAAAATGCTAAATTTGACACAGCCAAAAAAGCACAAACATTTATTCATATCATATTACAGTGTAATACGATATAAATGTGAATATGTGCTTGTTATTTTTACAGTTCCGATATTTGATTAAGGCAGATTTAAAATAACTCAAGAATAAGAGTTTATATAAAGATTTATGAAATTTGGATTATCAAGTTCTGAAGTATGAAATTTGAGTTAACAAGTTCTGATGTATGAAATTTGAGTTTTCATGTTCTAAAATATGAAATATGAGTCATTAAGTTGTGAAGTATGAAATTTAAGTTATTTTAACCAACTTTCAAGTTATAAAAGAGTAACAAAAGATTTTTTTTGAAACACAGATCACTTGGACTATGACCATTAAAACAAAAGGTACAGCTTTTAATTCTGTTAATTTTGTTTATTGGGTCTGAGCAAAAACTTTTAAAAATAAAGTTTGTTGTCTTATGAAAAGTTACATAAATATATATACGGTCACCATTTCTGATTTTCCTGATTTTTACATATTGTTATGTTCATTATGTAGAGGATTAATTTGAATTTTAAGACTTTCAAGTACAATGGTTTGAAAATTCCCCCTTAATTTACAAATGGTCAAAACAGATTACTTTAAAGCTGTATAACATTTTTCTCATTTTCAACAAATGTCTCATTTATTCTAGAACTATTTTCTGGATAGTTTTCTCTTTAACAAAGTGGTTTTTAATAACTTTTAATAAATTAGAGAAAAATGATGACCACCTCAACCTAGGGAAAAATCCTAAAATTGATAAAATATGCCAAATTAAATCTAACTGTAGCATTTTTCTATTCTTCCATAAGTCTTTACAGATAAGTTTTCTGATTAGATACTACTGTCTGCAATAAATAGGAAAAATATAGGCAGCTTGTTGCAGTTTAGAACTAAAATATATCTAAAAGAAAAATGTCCATTTGCCAAAATTTCCAAATTTTTTTAACACTTTGTTTTGATTTAAAATTAACAGCATATAAGATCATTAGATCCAACTCTCTAAAAATGCAAAAATTATTAACTTGTTAAATTCACACCAATAATGCCAGCATTTTTAAATAACCCTATTTATTTGTAAATCAAGGGGGGCTACTGTGTCATGTTACTAAGGCTATAATTTTTGAACCGTTGTACTTAAAAGGCTGAGATTTCAAATTTAACCTTAATAAACATAACAATATGTAAAAATCAGGAAATTTAGAGATGGTGACCCACAAATTTTCTTCATGTTGGTTGAAATATGATTTGACCGATTGATAATAAAAAATAACAAATATAAATTTGTTAAAAGAAGATTTAATATAAATCATAAATTTTGATTTAAAAATTATAATAAATTCTTTTTTAAGAATACTTTCACTATATAATTTATTACTTTTTTAATTATTATAAATTTTGTAGTTTACAATTTTAGTGAATTTAAATTTACTTTTAACTAAGTTGATTAAATTTTATGAAGTCAAAGTCAGGTGAAGTCATAGTATATATAGATACTTTCAAATCAGGTGAAGTCATAGTATATATAGATACTTTTAAATCAGGTGAAGTCATAGTATATATAGATTCTTTCAAATCAGGTGGAGTCATAGTATATATAGATACTTTCAAATCAGGTGAAGTCATAGTATATATAGATACTTTCAAATCAGGTGAAGTCATAGTATATATAGATACTTTCAAATCAGGTGGAGTCATAGTATATATAGATACTTTCAAATCAGGTGGAGTCATAGTATATATAGATACTTTCAAATCAAGTGGAGTCATAGTATAAATAGATACTTTCAAATCAGGTGAAGTCATAGTATATATAGATACTTTCAAATCAGGTGGAGTCATAGTATATATAGATACTTTCAAATCAGGTGAAGTCATACTATATATAGATACTTTAAAATCAGGTGAAGTCATAGTATATATAGATACTTTCAAATCAGGTGGAGTCATCGTATATATAGATATTTTCAAATCAGGTGGAGTCATAGTATATATATATACTTTCAAATCAGGTGGAGTCATAGTATATATAGATACTTTCAAATCAGGTGAAGTTATAGTATATATAGATACTTTCAAATCAGGTGGAGTCATAGTATATATAGATACTTTCATTAGACAAAGGTGGAGAGGTTAAGGCTATCGCTCTTGACATTTCTAAAGCGCTTGATAAAGTTTGGCATGCTGGTCTTCTCCATAAGCTTTCTTCTTACAGTGTATCTAGAAATATCTTTAAGATTATTGAATCCTTCCTTTCCAATGGTAGTATAAAAGTTGTCCTCAATGGACAGCACTCTTCTTCTTATTCTTAAGGGGTTCCTCAAGGTTCAATCCTATACTCTTTTTAATTTACATTAACGATCTTCCAGATATTCTCACATCTAAGGTGGCATTGTTTGCTGATGATACTACCATTTATTCTTGTCATGATAAGAAGCCAACTCTCCCTGATTGTTTGGAGGGCGTCTGAGCTTGAAAAGGACCTCACTTCTGCTACAGCATGTGGTTCACAGTGGCTGGTGAACTTTAATTCAGATAAAACTCAATTTTTTTTGGCCAATCGTTATCGCAATAATTTTGACCTTCCTATATTTATGAACGATAATGTACTCGATGAGTCTCCTACTCTTTATCTTCTAGGATTAACTCTTATTTCTGATCTTTCTTGGAAACCATATATTAATTCCATTGCAAAATTAGCTAAAGTTACATCTCTTTATCGAGCTCGACTCTTTCTTACTCTGGATTCTATTCTCTATCTCTATAAATCTCAAATCCGGCCTTGTATGGAATACTGTTGCCATATCTGGGGCAGATCTTCTAATAATGCCCTTTCTCTTTTAGTCAAGGTGCAAAAGCGCATTGTAAACATTGTTGGACCTGCTCTTGCAGCCAACCTTCAACCCATATCACATCGTCGTAATGTTGCTTCTCTTTCTTTTTTCTACAAATATTATAAAAAGCACTGCTCTACAGAGCTAGCGTCTCTTGTGCCATCTACTAAATTTCACTCTCGTGTTACCTGCCATTCAATTAAGTCTCATCCTTTTTCTGTGACTGTTCCTAAGTGCTCCGAAAACTCTTATTCCTCTAGTTTTTTTCCTCAAACATCAGGTCTTTAAAATTCACTTCCTTTATCTTGCTTTCCTGATTTATATAATTTGCAATCTTTTAAGTCGTCTAGCAATCTTTATCTTGCTCTACACTCTTCACCTTTTCTCTTCCTGTAACTTCCAACTCTAATTAGTGGTTGCTTGCAGCCTTCTTGGAAGCGAAGGCTTGAAAATGTTAAAAAAAAAAAAAAATTAAAATAAGTTATTATTCTATATGAAGAGTAGGTAAAAATGATTTTATGATGTCAAACAAACTATAAGACTTACCCTCTACGATCTTTTTAATTATCACAAAGCCAGATTTTTTTTTATGACTATTAAGCTTGGATAGTTTGTACATTGTTGCTCATAAATCTCCTAAACTTATAGCTTTTTACATTTTTTTAAAATTTTGAATTATTTTTGAAATTTTTTAAAGTTTTGAATTTTGTATTGTTTTTTAGTACAAATGGATGGATTCCTACAAAATCCACAATTTCAAATTAAGTTGTCTGAACTACTTGATCAAGATTGGTTTAAGATTGGTATTTCCTTAAAAGTCGAAGAGCATAGTGTAAAATCAATAAAAAGTGATTTTGTAAATTTTCCAAAACAAGAAGACAAAGCATATGAAATGATAAAAAAATGGTTCAATTTTGATAAAAATCCGACGTTTGAAAAGTTAAAACATGCCATTTTAGATATTCCAAAACACGATTTATTGATGGAGGTGGAGGATCTTGCAAGTACACATTTTTTTTTTTTTAATTTGTATTATATAATTTTTTCAGATTGTCATTTGTCACTCTCATTATTTGTTTATTTTTTTGTTATTATTTTAACTTCTTCATCAAATTCTCTGCTTTCAGAAAAATTTGATTATGATGATGATGATGATGATGTTTTGTTTTTTATACATTTGATTATTTTGGATTTTTGTAACATGACCATTAAGTCATAAATAAATTTTGTAAAATGACTATTTTACAAAATTTAAAAGTAAAAAGCTATTTCTGTTTATTTTATTAGATAAATTTTTAAATGAGTCTTTAAATTCACCAAGTGACACTTGTGAAAGAATTTCTCCATTAAACTAATTATATAATATGTACTATAACAACATGTTGATAAGGAGAAGATATGATGATGATGATGATGATGATGTTGATGATGATGATGATGATGATGATGATGATGATGATGATGATGATGATGATGATGATGATGATGATGATGATGATGATGATGATGATGATGATGATGATGATGATGATGATGATGATGATGATGATGATGATGATAATGGTTACAGATATACTATTCTTTAAAGTTAAATCATAAATTTCAGAATATATATAAAAGACAAAATTTTAAATAAATCTGCTTACAAAAACAAAAATTAATTATTATAGTTGTAGATGGAAATGATAATGATTATGATGTTAATTTTTTAATAAATTATTTTATGTTAATATAACTTTTATACTTTGAATTTTTGAATGTTGTACCAATTTAAAATATATTTCTGTTTATTTAACCAGGTCGGTTTTTCACAATGCCTTCATATTTATCAGAAGGTGCTTCTAATACAGGTATTTCTTAATTTAATAGTGGTAATTAAAGAAAACAAATGATGAAAATAATAATGATAACAATTATCATAAGTATATTAAAAAACATGATAGAAATGATGATGATTACAATGATCATGATGATTAGGTTGATTATCATGTTAGTTTAAATATTTAATGTATATATAAAAATTTAAACTATATATCAAAACATTTGGATGTAATTACGTTTAAAGATAAGTTAAAAAATTGAACTTGTTATTAAATTTATCTATATTTTAACTTATCTTATTTGATTTTATCAAGATTTTTGTCAAATAATCCAGTTTTAATCTTTAAATATTTATGTCAAGTATATATGGTATGGTATATTTAGTCTTTCAAAAACTAAAATAACAAATACATATTTTTTATGCACAGTTAAATAGTTTTATACTGAAGTATGAATTTATTTAGCTGTTTATAGAAATACTCTAATTTCTATTCATTTTTATTTAAATAAAAATGAATAGAAAATGGAGTATTTGCATTACATACTATTTAACATACAATTTTTTTTTTTACTTTACTTTTCTATTGAAAGTTATAAATCAATAAAATTTCAAGTGTTTTCAATAAATTGACATTACTGGACAATATAGGAAAAAACATTAAAAACATATTGTGGCGTTGTTAATCTGTAATAGCTATCTAATTATTTTATTTGGGAAATCCTACTCCACTGGAGCAATTAGTAATCAAAAAAGAAAAAAATATCAAAGTTGTGTTTAGGCTTGGTAATGCTAAAGCGATTTGTTTTTGAATCAACTTATGTAGGAATAAATGTGTCTAAGTAGTTTCTTAAAAAATCATTTTTTATAAGAATATAGCTTTGCAGAATTTCATAAAGTTCTGAATCATCTTTAAAGTATTGCTTAACAATTTCTTAAACCCTTTTTTTAAAATTCTTATTGGAAATATTAGTATCAATAAAAAAAATCCGAAAAGTATGTAATCTTCCTTATACAGTTTTTTGTTTTAAATTTGAATAGATACTGTTAAAAGTTTTAAACAAAGTGTTTTTAAAATTCTCAATTGGACAATATCTTTTGTAGTTAATTTAGGATTGCTAAAAATCTTTCTACAACTTGATGTTTTTGTTTGCAAAAACAAACAAACAAGGTTTCTGAAAAAATGATCATAAAAACCATATCATCAGAATCTTTTACAAATTTACAACTTTTATAAATAAAGACATAAATAAGAATAAATTTCAAAAAATCGTGTTACAAATATAAATGATATCAACAAATATATATATATATATATATATATATATATATATATATATATATATATATATATATATATATATATATATATATATATATATATATATATATATATATATATATATATATATATATGTATGTATAGATTAGATTTTTTTTTGTCAGAACCTACAAAAGTGTAAATATATATACCATATACAGCTATGAGCAGAAGTTTAATTGAGATTTTGTCATAATTATGTGTCTGTCTTTCTAACATTAAAGTTTAATGGATATAGATTTTGAGTTTATTTTTTTTGTGTTTTGCTATTTATGCGTGTATCAATAAAATAGACAAAAAAAAAAATTTACACATACTACAATACTTCCATAAAATTGATTAAACGTTATACGATGTATTTTATTGATGACATAGAAATTTATAAAACATTTACATTTACATTACAAATACATTTTTCACACTCAATAACTAATTATTATACTTAATTATCAGTAACTAAACAAATGCTTTGTTTCTGTTGGACCTTATCTTTCAAAAAACATTCCAAACATGATAAATCAAATCAATAATTATGAATTTCCTTTAACCTCTGGTCTAAGTGCCTTTTAACTATCATTTTCAGAATTTGAAAATGCTTTTAAAATGCTTAAGCTCAATAAAGCAATTGGCCCAGACAACTTAAATGGAAACATTGCTGTTAATTCATACAATAATATAAAGAATACTCTATTTAAAGTTCTTAATTGTTTAATAAATCAAGGAATTTTTCCAGGCCAAATGAAGGTTGCAAAGGTGACCCCTATATGTAAAGGCAGTGAACTAACAAGTGTTGAAAATTATCATCCAATATCAGTTTTGTCAGTTTTTTCAAAATTCTTGAAAGAATTTTATTTAATCGAATTTTTAATCTTCTCTGAAAATAATATATTTTACAACAGTCAGTTTCAAAAAAAAAAAACTCTACATAACACGCTTCAACTTCAACTCACAAGAATTAAGTTAATTAATTCTGTTGCATGAGATATTGAAACTTTTTTTAATGTATTTTTAAACGCTGAATCCAAATATTAGGTTCGTTTTTGTTGGTAAGCTCTAGTTTTTTTGCAGTTCTCAACTTATCATTTTTTTAAAAATTATGTTTTTTCATAGTTATTATTAAATATTTATTAAGTTATTAAAAAAGTAACCATTTCATTGTTTTTATTAGATCAAATATATATAATGATGGCTTCTTCAAATTGACATAAGTGCATAATCCTAACTCATTTTGTTATATATGTGGTTGCTATGCACTTGTTTGACAAAGACAAAACATTACTAATTTTGTGAAATTAGCATATGAATTGTATTTCAATATTAAACTTGGTGACCAAGATATAAAGTGGGCTCCACATATTTTATGCCATATTTGTGAAGAAAGTCTTTGAGATTGGATAAAAGGAAAAAAAAAAATTTACCTTTTGGAGTCCCAACGGTTTGGAGGGAACCACTAAATCATATTGATGACTGCTACTTTGTCTTGTTGATACTAGTGGTGTTGGCGAAACTAAGGGACAAAAAATAACTTATCCCAAAATTCCTTCTGCTATTAGACCAATTCAACATTCTAACCAGATTCCGTTTCCAATTTTCAAAGGTTTATTTTTGTCAGAAGATGAGCAAAGCGTGTCTGCTACAGAAACAGAAGAATTTTTACCAGATTTGGAAGACTTCTCATCTAATGCTAAACAATTCAGTTTGCCTCAGTGTTTTAGTCAGATAGAACTGAATGACTTAGTTCGTGATTTAGGACTTTCTAAACAAGCAGCAGAAGTATTAGCGTCACAATTAAAAGAAAAAAACCTGCTTGATAGCTTTGCAAAAGTATCTTATTTTAGAACAAGAGATGAAACTTTTGTTGATTTTTTTTCAGAAGTCAATTTATTTGTTTACTGTCATGATATTTCAGGTCTCCTATTACAGTTGGGTATTTCTGTATATAATCCAGCAGAATGGAGACTTTTTATCGATAGCTCAAATCAAAGCCTCAAATGCATTATATTGCACAATGGAAATATTTTTGGTTCTGTACCAATTGATCATTCTGTTTATTTGCAAGAAACTTACGATGACATTAAAATGGTGCTTAACTTGATTAAATATCATGAACACAACTGGATTATTTGTGTAGATCTAAAAATGATTAACTTTCTACTTGGTCAGCAGAAAGGTTTTACAAAATTTCCATGTTATCTCTGTATGTGGGACAGTCGAGCGAGAAATTAACACTGGATAAAAAAAGAATGGCCCATTCGCAAGACTTGTACAGTGGGCATGCAAAATATTGTGAATGAACCGATTGTTAGTCGAAACAAAATAGTTTTTCCACCACTCCGTCTTAAACTTGGATTCATGAAACAATTTGTTAAAGCACTAATAACTGATAGTGATTGTTTTTAGTATATAGTTAAATCATTACCAGGATTGTCAATAGAGAAAAAAAAGCAGGAGTTTTTAACGGGCCACAAATTCACTATCTTATAAAAGATAAGGAATTCATTAAAACAATGAATATCAAAGAAAAAACAGCTTGGTTATCGTTTGTGATTGTTATAAAAAATTTTCTTGGAAATAAAAAAGCAGAAAACTATGCAGATTTAGTTGATAAAATGTTGAAAGCCTTTTGTGATCTTGGATACAAAATGAGTATAAAGCTTCATTATATAAATAGTCATCTTGACCAGTTTCCTGAAAATCTTAGAGATGTGAGTGAAGAGCAAGGAGAGCGATTCCATCAAGATCTTAAGACAATCCAAGATCGTTACCAAGGATGTTAAGACATAGACATGATGGCAGACTACTGCTGGGGCATCAAGCGAGAAGACACAGGAAAAGTTTATAAACGAAAGAACAACAAGCAAAAGTTTCTTCCTGATTAAGTAGTTGTAAATAAGCAATATAATCTGCAATCTTTTTTAAAACTAAAGTAAAAAAGATTTTGATCTTTCACTAAAGTAAAAGATTTTTTTATTAATCAATAAAAAGTTAATAACTTTGCTAGGACTTGGATATTTAAAATATATTTATTTTAATCAATTTACATTTAGTTTTATTTGTTTTTCTTTTAGTTTTGTAAACAAATTTTGTTCTAAAAAGTATATCCTAGCATTTGCAAATGAGTTTCAGTATTTTAGAACTATTTCTACTGTTTTGCAAAATTAAAAAAATATAAATTGCAAAAAATCTGTAGCTTTCCATAAAAAATGAATTTTTTGTAGACCTGTGTTATTACTGACTCTTTTGAAAAATCACAAATTACTTCAGATATTTTTATAGACCTATCTAAAGCCTTTGATACTATTGATCACCGTATTCTCATAAATAAATTAGATTATTTATTTATAAGAATGAGAATGCAGTATGATTACGATATCACTGGTAAAGTCTTAATGTTATTAAAAAGTTACTTAAATAGTTGTAAACAATTCATACATATTGATACACACTCAACAACTACTGCTTTAGATATATCCTGTGGAGTCCCCCAGGGTTCCATACTTAAACCACTGTTATTTCTAATTTATATCAATAACCTCTATAAAACTTCTAATTTAATGACAATAATGTATGCTGATGATACTAATCTTTTCTTATCCCAAAATAACATCAATAACTTATTTCATGACATGAATGTAAAACTAAAGAAAATATCTAACTGGTTTAAATCAAATAAGCTTTCACTTAATATTGAAAAAAGTTTTTCATTCGGCTTATAAAATGCATATACTACCAAGTGAAATGCCGCCGCTTTTCTTTGATAAAATTAATATAAAAAGAATAACTTATACTAAAGTTTTAGGTATTATTGTGGATGGGTTATACATACACACCTAGGTATTGGTCTTGGGGTGAGTGAATGACGAGCAGTGAAAAGTTCTTTTAAAACAGGCTAGGATTGTTAGATGTCAGGCTTTTACAACAGTAAAAGTGTTGTGATTTTTGTAGGGGCGATATTGTATTTTTCATTGTAAAAGCCAGACATCTAGCAACTCTAGTCTTAGCAAGCCTTTTTTGCCGAATCTGATTTTCCCGTAAGCTCTTAGCATTTTTACAAACACTTTCAATGTTTCAAATTAAGTTTTGATAAACAAGGTCATGGATAAAATTGAATGATTTTGATAAATTTTTAGTTTTTTTTTATAGTTTCACAACACAATTTTCTTTTTGCCCAGTTTGTTGGGTGCAGTTTCATTTGTTTATGTTTTGCTCTAGTGGTGTTTTGCTTTATTTTAGCTCCACATGATTTGAACTGCCTGAGTTTTTTTAGTTTCATACTTGGTTCGTTACAAGGCATGAAACATATACCAAATTTTGTATAGTTTTTCAGGAGGATAAAAATTATATGAAAAACATTTGTAATTAAACCTTGCGGGAATGATTTTATTATTTTCTATAGATACATTTTTAGTGTTATTTTTTTCAACTCCATATTTTTATTTCAAGTTTTAGATAGATATAAGTAAGAACTTTATATTATTTAGAGATTTCAAGTTTACCAAACAAAGATTCCACTGTTTCTTCCAATAAAGGTAATTGTTTTAAATATTTTATGCTTTGTTTGTTTCAAAAGTAAGAAAATTTTTTTATGTTAAATAATTTATTAAGCTAAGTCCTTTTATTAAGTTTTAACTTTTTCATTTGATTTTCAATTTTTTTCATTAAACATGCGTTGTTATGTTTACTTACTTTAGTTGCTTATTTTATTATTGTTGCTAATCATCAAGTTTGTTCATTGTGTTACTGGCTTATGTTAATTCATATCCCATTGCTTATTTCAAAATATTATTTTTTATACAATGCTCACCTAATAATTTACTGATGAATAACAAAAGTTTGTTTTATTATTATATTAAATTTTTCATTATCTGGATTTTTTTTAAATAAATTTCTTATATAATTTTATTAACTTAATACAAATAATACAAAAATTGTAATCAATTGTTTTATTCTTATTTTAAACTATAAATGAGACCCTAAGTCAATGATTGTATCATTAACTTGTTTGACAAACAACGCAAGAAGAGAGCTTGTTGTCAAGGTGCAGTGTTCTTGTTGCTCAAGTTTAAATTCATGATGCTATTGTTTTAAGAGCTTAACAAGAAAAAATATATTTTAAATAATGTGTGTATTTTTACTGCATTTTGCAAAAATGCAATTTACTGCATTTTTAAAATTATTTTTAAGTTAAAAAAATATTGGGCAAAATTTTCATTTGTGGACAAACAAGGCATGTGACTGCACAGCTTTCATGGAAAGGCCTGAATTATATTGTATTTTTCAGACTTCCAAGTGCAACAGCTTTAAATTTATAGCTTTGTAAACACAGCAAAGTATCCCCTAAATTTACAAATCATAAAAACAGGCTAATAAAATCTGTTTTTATGACTATTAAAGTCATATAATTTTTTGTTATCTGCATTATTTAGGTTAAATTACCACATTTTAGAAATTATAACCTTATGAACATGACAATATCTCATGTTCATAACCTTATGAACATGACAATCTCCCTCAATTTAAGACATAATTTATATATTATTTCTTATTATTTCTAGAACTATTATCAGGATTATCTATTTTTATATCTGTTATATCATTTATTTTTATATCTATTATGATAGAGCCAGATAGATGCCTACAGAATGGATTTCAATTGATCGAATGCACACATTAGTCACCATAGCCCACAAGTCATAACTCTTAGCCAAAAGAGCTACTGCCCCGTGCTGGTGTGGAATGATGTGCTATGAAGTGAGATTTTAGATCCAAGCACATAGTCAGCGAGCGCTGGTCCGATGTGCATTGTGGAGCTTCCGACTGAATGTGTGCGTGAGTGTCAGCATAGTCATTAGGTTATTGAGCGCCGTAACCACATCCAGGGGGATAGCTGTTTTTATTTTATCTATTATATTATCAATTTTTAAAAGTATTTTATTAATTTTTATCTTATTAATAGTTCTATACTATAAGTTTCTACCAGAAACAGAGCAAGGTCTGGAAGATATTTTTAATATGTTGAAAATAAAACATTAGTCTTCTATTTGATACCATTAAAATATGTTGATGAAACCTTTGGTTTGTTTGATCTTAGAAAGAAAGCGAAAATATATATTTGAGTCTTAGAAGGAAAGGGAAAAGATATATGCATTAACAAAATGATAACCAATGTACGTAGGAGTATTTGTCGATTTTAGCTGGCCAAAATTATTTCTCTCCTTTTAACAGCTAAAAACTTTATATATTATATATATAAAGTTTATATATATATATATATATATATAATATATATATATATATATATATATATATATATATATATATATCAGGCTTGGTCGGGAAGCGGGAGCGATCGCTCTCGATTGCTGACCTCGTAAATAATATTTAGTTGCGAAAAGCTGGCCAGATATTTTAGCGGTTTTGAGAACATTTTAAAAAGCAAAAAAAAAAAAAAAGCGACTAAGATTAATTGGACCGATGAGAGGCAGTTACAAAAAAAAAAAAATAATAAAAAAAAATAGGCAAATAAAATATCTTTAAACGCAAAAAAACTTAAAGCTAAAAAATTACATTTAGAACAAATATTATCAAAACATCGCTCTTTTACAATTTTTCCTTGAACACTGCACCTTGACACGTTGTCAAGGTGCAGTGTTCTTGTTGCTCAAGTTTAGATTCATGATGTTTTGAGTGCTTCAACAAGAAAATATTTATTTCAAATAATGTGTGTATTTTTACTGCATGTTTTAATTTTTTTTTAAGTTAAAAAAAGTATTGGGTAAAAATTCATTTGTGGACAAACAAGGGATGTGACTGTACAGCTTTCCTGAAAAGGCCTGGATTATATTGTATTTTTCAGACTTCCAAGTGCGTCAGCTTTAAATTTATAACTTTGTAAACACAACAAATTATCCCCATAAAAACAGACTAATAAAATCTGTTTTTATGACTATTAAAGTCATATATTTTTTGTTATCTGCATTATTTAGGTTAAATTACCACAGTTTAGAAATTATAACCTTATAAACATGACAATATATCTCCCTTAATTTACATAATAAAAAAAAACTAATTTAAAGACATAATTTATATATTATTTCTTATTATTTCTAGAACTATTATCAGGATTATCTATTTTTATATCTGTTATATTATTTTTTTTTATATCTATTATGATAGAGTTAGACGTAATGCCTACAGAATGGATTTCAATTGATTGAATGCACACATTAGTCACCATAGGCAACAAGCCATCACTCTTAGCCAAAAGACCTACTGCCCTGTGCTGGTGTGGAATGAAGTGAGATGTGAGATATGAAGTGAGATTTCAGATCCAAGCACATAGTCAGCGAGCGCTGGTCTGATGTGCATTGTGGAGTTTCAGACTGAATGTGTGCGTGAGTGTCAGCGTAGTCATTAGGTTATTGAGCGCCGTAACCACATCCAGCGGGATTCCTATTTTTACTTTATCTATTATATTATCATTTTTTAAAAGTATTTTATTAACTTTCATCTTATTAGAGATTAATGTCTAAATTAAGTTCTCTTCGACTTTAAAAAAAGTTCTAAAACTCTCGATAAAATACCAAAATAAAGTCAAATCAAGTCATTTTCTATTCATTTACAAGTCTTTACAGGTAAATTTTCTGATTAACTTCTATTGTTTACAATAAATTGGCAAAACATAAGAACTCAAATATATCTAAAAAAACATTGTCAGTTTTCCTAAAAACTCCAACTTAAAGGTACTATTGTTTTCTAAAACATAACAACTATAATTTTAAAAGTTTACTTTTTTTTTCAAATCCATCTTTGTTTGTTATTCTATAACTTCAAAATTATTATTATTATTTTTATTTTTGACATTGATTTACTGTGTGGAACCATTGTGAGAAGTTAAACAATATTTCCATTGTTGAACAGAGAATTTTTCCTTTTATCAAACTTAGAGTTTCATTAAAGTTTTCAGCCTTCTTTTTTATGCTGTTTGTTTTATAACTTATTTTTGAAGAAACATCGAGGTGACTTTCAATTTTTCTAGTTACATTGTTTATCATTTTTTTGATGGGTACATCTTTTCCATTTCTTTTTAAGACTCAAATATATATTTTTGCTTTTTTTCTAAAATCAAAACGTTTTGATGATTTTGAATGAAATTGTAGAGGATAAAATTTTGAATCTTTGTTGATTTTTTTAATTTTTATAAAGATTTAAAGAATTCATCATTTTGTTCACCTTGATTTATTTCTTTTCTGGCATTCTCCTGGGATATTGTTGTCTTGCAATCTTTTGTTTACAAAATTTGCAGAGCTTTCTATGAGGATATTTAAACTACTTTTAATTGTAACTTTTTACTCTAATTGTAACTAGGTCAAGGTTTTCTAAAATATTTAAGTTGCATTAAGCTTTTCCTCCATTTGTCTAAAACTTTATTAGGTTATGTTTTAAAATGACAATGATAAATTTTTTTAATGTCTACTTTCTTGTGATTTTATTAGTGTTTAATGTATCAAGTTTTCTATGATGTTAAATTTAACATTTTTGAGTTTTTTTTGTTTTTAATTAAGCAATTTTCAAAGACTTTTTATAAAAAAAAAGTTTATGTCATTAAAATATTTATTAGTGGTCATCTATAAAGTAGCTTGTGCTAAATTTAATTTTTATTAAAAAAGATGATCATTTTCACTCTTGCATGGAGATTTTCATTCCACATAAAGCACTTTAGAATTTTTATTACTTTAAATCTCTGTGTGGAAGCCAATAATATTCTATTTCTATTTTAAAGTTGAATTTGATTTACTAAATGATTAAAGTATATCAATGTAAATTTACCTATAAAATGTGAGATTCTGAATTTGCCCCCCCCCCTTTTCCCTGGTAGTACCATGCTCAATTTGTTTCTTTAGGCAGTGACCTTATTTGTCAAAATTAGTCTAAAAATCATTTCATAAAATGTTTGTCAAATATAAAAACATAAACTTTACATAAAAAGTTTGTTAAAAATAATTTCTTATTTTTAAGAACTTTGTTAAAAAAATTAATGTTTATATTATATTTTAAAAAATCTTGAATTAATAAAAATCATTTCATAAAAAACTATTTAGATTCATTAGATTTATCAGCGGTTTGATGTCAAGTATGTTATAATAAAAACTTTATGTTAATATAAAATTATAGTAATAATGGTCATCATTGTGGTTATGCATCATGATCATAAAACTTAGCAAAATCATGATGATGACTTTAAAAGAAATTGTTTTTTTTAATTAGATTTGTCAAGGTCGTCTGCAATATTGAAAAAATATTATCAAAAATATTATTGGAAAATTAATGAACTTCAACCACTAATGAAAGCACCTGTAGATGTTGATCTAAATCAAAAATTTGTTGATCTATGTATTGTTGATGCAGTGAATGCTCAAGTGGAACGCTCAAAGGATGCTGTTCTAAGTGTTGAACGAAAGAAATTCCTTGAAAAACAAATGAATTATACACCAATAAAATTTAGTGAAATATTTACGAAAGAAAAATCAGTCTTATTAATATCTGGAATAGCTGGTATTGGGAAAACATGGTTGCTTAGAAAATGTTTGCTTGATTGGTCAAATGGTTTAATTTGGAAAAATATTGAACTTATTTTTTATTTGGAATGCAGGAGACTTAATCAATATTCAAATATTTCTAATATAAATGAATTACTAAATGTTTTTTACAAAGATATTGTAAACGACTTTAATATAAATAGTCATACTGCACTGTTTATAATTGATGGGTTAGATGAGTTTAAATATTTCAATGAGTTATTAAATCCAAGTTTGACATGTAACTACCCGATTGTTAATGTTTTAGCAGAAATTCAAAAGTACCATCATGTAATTGCTGGTAGAGTTTATGCAATAGATCAATACCAAAGTATATCTACAGAATATAGTGATAAGTTAACCATTCAAGTAATGGGGTTTAATGAAAATGGAATTAATAATTATGTAGAAAACCATGTTATGGAAGAAAAAAAAAAAATTATAAAAGCAATTTTAAAAGAATCTTCAATTGCAAAAGCCATGGCATCTGTTCCTTTTTATTTATCTTCAATGTGTAAAATTATAAGTGATTCAAAATATATGGATTTAATTTCTTTCTTAACAATGACAGATTTGTATGCAAATATTTTTTTGCACTTTATACGAAAACACATCATTAAAAACAACAAATTGGTACATGAGATAATAGAAGACAGCTCCAATAAAAGATATATTTTAAATATATGTAAAATTGCATATGAAATGTTTGTGAACAATAAAATAGTTTTTTCCAAAAAAGAAGTTCATGCTTTTATAGGTGACTTTGATAAAAATGAAGATAAGTATTTTGGTTTTATAGAAAAGATTGAAACAGACCTTGGTAGTTATTATAAATTCGCACATTTGACAATAATGGAGTTTTGTGCATCTGTTTATGCATATAATTATTTAAGTAGTGATGAGATTATGGTCAATGAGAGGCTGAAGAGTTGTTTATCAATGATTTGTGGATTAGCCAATAAAAACCAAAACAGTTTAATAAAGTTTCTTGTTAACCTGAATCCTTCAACAAAATCCAATGAAGAATCTTTAATTTTGTATTCTGTTTTGGGTAAGTTCTAAAACTTTCTTGTGTTATTGTGAGCCTATTTAAGATTGGTGTTCAAACAGGCACAAAAGGTGTTCAATAAGGTACAAAAAATAATGAACTTTTTACTTAAATTTTAATTATATAAGGTATTTTTGTTAATAGTAGATTTTTTAATGCAAATAAGGTATTTTTGTTAATTTTTGATAATTTATGGTTTACAATTTTGGTTGATTATTTTTAAAATAAAAACAATTGTTTAACATTTTTGTTATTTGAATTATATAAGACATTATTTTAAACATAAACGGTATGTTTAAGAATGTTAGGCATGTTTTCTAAAGAAATTCAAAAAAATATTCTTTATCTAAATTAAAAAAAAAAGTTAAATTCATTGTATCTCCATTTTTTTCTTTTCTATTGCTGAATGAGGTCATTTTAAAATGTTTATTTTTGTTTTTGGTTTTTATGCTTATTTTTAGTTTTTGTTTTTATGTTTATTTGTATTTTTTATTTTTAAATTAGAGTTGATGAAAAGATTTTTTTTCAGGAAACAAAGCATAATTTAAAAATTTTCATGTTTGCATAAGTAATAAAAAATGAATGTTTTTTTGTGAACCAAATGTCTTTTTTATTATTATAAATAAAATATTATAAAAATGGTTGTAGAGACTTTATTACAACATTTTGATTTTGAGACATGAATATTTTATAAATATTGTTCACAAGAAAAATTTATGTCTTGAGTTCACTTTTATATGGCTTTTAACAATTAACTTAAATTCTTTTCTTTAATTGAAACAACTTTAAAACACCTTTAAACCTCACACCTTGTCAGAAAAAAAAATGTCACAGTGACATTATATGATGTATTTTTTAAGAAAAAAATTTTTTTTTTTCATCTTTCGACTTGAAAAAACAAAACTTGAAAAACCTACATCATAAAAACATATAGAGAGTAAAAAAAAAAATCAATTGTAATAACATTTGATATAATTAACTTGGAAACAAAAATTTTTTGAGAATAAAAACATGAAACTGTTTAAAGTATAATCATCATTAATTTCTAAAGAAAGATTTTAATCAATTTTTTTTAAAATATATTATTTTTATTTGTTATATAGGTGTTAATAGGTGTTTAATTTATATTTTGTATTTAAATCTTCATACAATTTTTATGATTTAAAATATTCAGTAATATAAATACCTAATAAAAATTTTCAACAATATAAATACAACATTGACTTAACATTTTAAAATGAAGATATTTTTTTGTTTGCATTTTATGCACTTCTTAACAAAGAGAGTTCTATAAAATATTCTATGGCTGTGTTAAACTGCTGACTGTGACTTCTAAGGATGAATGAGCAAATTTTTATTACAGAAGAATGTTTTTGACAATTTTTTATTGCTGGCTTTTGCATTCACATAAAGTTTTTTGAAAGTAGTAATGTTAAATGCACAATCTGTAAACTTTATGGTTCTAATGATTTTTTTGTAAATTGTTTCAACTTTAACATGATTGGCATTGTGATTTGATAGGTCATTGGTTTACAAAACATTGAGTTAAATATTTAGAACCTTGTACTTTCCAAGGATCTTTTGCTTACTAGCATTATTTGTTTACTAGCATAGATTAAAAAACGTTTCTTAAGTTACTTCTTAATGATTATTCTTATGTTTTGTGTCTGTTTATTTGACTACTTATTGGCTTTTGGCTTGTTATAAATTTTTTAAGGCTAGCACAGCAAAAGTTCTGTTTTGCTACAGTCTCTCAAGAGGAGCTGTCATGACAAACATTTATTAGAGAAGAGATATAGAAATGTGCTAAGCTTTTCTCACTAACCTCACTTGAGCTTGTCATACCCATTAATACTGCCATCTGGTAAAGTCAAATGTGCGATACTGTTTTTATATAATTTGATTTTATAATTTGAATTTGAAAAGGCAATAAGAATTCAAATAAAAACAGACATAAAATTTGAGAATAACCTTTAAGTAGTAGATTTAAAAAATATTTTTTAATCTGACTAGCAAAAGGTCATAAGGAGAAGAACAAGGTTTTAAACATTGAACTCAATGTTCTGTTAACCATTGACTTATCAAATCAAAGAATAGGGTTTACTAAAGAAATACGGGTACCTTTCTGAGATGTAGGTCTGGAGACCTCTCTCTCTCTCTCTCTCTCTCTCTCTCTCTCTCTCTCTATATATATATATATATATATATATATATATATATATATATATATATATATATATATATATATATATATATATATATATATATATATATATATATATATATAAATATATATATATATATATATAAATATATATATATATATATATAAATATATATATATATATATATATATATATATATAGATATAGATATAGATATAGATATAGATATAGATATATATGTATATATAGATATAGATATATATGTATATATATATGTATATTAGGGCTGTTCATGTGAACACAGGAAAAAAAAATTTTTCTCGGATTTGAATGCATAGTTGTTTATTTTGTGCCATTTGACATAGAAATTGACTGTGTAAAAAATCTTTCCAATCAGATAATGTTCAGGGGATGCTCAATGACCATAAAATTTTACGAAAAACGTCAAAAACGTGGAAAAAGTTTCAAAGTTCCAAAAATTTCTAGAACCTGGTTAGTTAGATTTTTTCCACTGAAATATTGTCTGATTGCGTGCTATATAGATTAATTAAAGTGCAGCAGATTAACTGTCATCAGGGCACCAGACTAAAAAATGTCTGCTAGTGTTTAAAACAACTGTGTTTATATCATTTTGTTAAAATTTGTATTCATAATTTTAATACTATTATTTAACTCAATTTAGAATTTGTTCAAACAGAATAAAAAGGTTTACAAGTATAAATATTTTTTTTTTTGGAATTTCAGTTTGACAACAAATGTATTAATATTTTGATAGTACCTAACCTTAGTAACCTATTACAGAAAACTAGCATGGTAGTCTGGTAGTGTATTGTTTGTTATTAAGTGCAGATAATAATAATTTCTAATTTGAAAATATTTATTTAATTTCTTTAGTAATAATTATTATTATATATTGCTGCAGCTGCATAAACCAACAACTGAATGATAAGTTTGTATAATATGGTATTGAGTTTTGATTTTCTCATAATTTTTCAGTTATCATTGAAATGGCAGCATCATCTCGTGTTGCTATCTCTACACGACTTCAAACCGAAATCTTTTTAATTGGACAACCAGAGCCAAATCTTCCAGAAAAAAGTTCTTCCCTTAACATCTGATGTTTTAAAAACATTTTTTTATCATCTTAATTCAACCAAAAAGTCAGTGCCTGAAAGTCTTAAAACAACTGTTGATGAACTGATTATTATTTGGAATAAAGCCCGTATTCCGACAGCATTTCATCCGAATGTAGTCTTAAAGTTGAAAACTTTAGTCCAGGAATTTAAATTAATAAAAAAATATAAATCCAGGTTGTCAGATTCTCAGAAATCAAGAGAGAAATCATTTACAGACGCCATTGGCCTACTTTTTGACATTGCCCACAAGGATGCTGAAACCATGATCAGAATTGAAGAAGATAAAGAATTTTTATTGGATCAGAGATGTCAGAGAAAAATGGTGATGTTTGGAGAGGACAAAGAACTTTCAAAATTAGAAGCAGGAAATGAAGCAAGGAAACAAGCAGAGAAAGAACGAAAGCTAAAAGAAGAGCAAAGACAATCTGGTGCGAGTGCAATAGTTCCTGTTATTGAACCTTTACATGACGAAAGTTATAGTGATGACAACGATAACGATGCTGTTGATAAATTTTGCTTATTTGCTAGTCTGGTTTATGTAAAATCTTGGATATCATGCCCAAATGCCAGCGATGCTCCAGTTAATGACATGATTCTGTTTCAGCAACTTAAGCAGTTTGCAGTTGTGAATAAACTGATTTCCGAAGCAGCAGTCAAGAAATTTCAAAACCATTTGTGGTACCTTTCACCAGAATTGGTCCCACTAGCTTTGTTTTCAAACAAACTTAAAACCGAAGAGAAGCGAAAAATGATTTCCAACATGAAATTTCACGGTGAGAACTGGTCTGAAAGGTTGATCAAATTAAAGAACATTGAAAATCTAGAGAAGAAATCTCTGGACATGCTGGTGACATCAGTTTCAGCAAGTGCGTTGCGGTCAATGAAGGTTGATATTGATTTTCCGTTCAACAACGATCCAGCTACCTGAAATGATTCCCCAGAATACCAAGAAGGAGAAAAATTTAGTATATTCATTGAAAGTAGTAAATGATGCTGCCGAACGATCTGTGGCTTTAATGTCGATGTTTAATGAATCGATTACAAGGAATGAATCTGAAATGCAGAGGTTAATTCAGGTGGTTGAGGATCACAGAAAGCGAGTGCCAGATGCCAGAAAGTGTACTCTGAAGAGTTATAGTCCTCGCTAGCATTAACATTGCACGAACTATAACATTACGATAATTAAATGTTAATTGCTCATATGTTTTTGAGTTGACCTACTTAGTAGTTGATAACGGTTTGAGAAACTGTTACTCCTTTACAATAATTTTTTTTGTTTATAATTCGTATTTTATTCAATGACAAAGAGTCAAAAATCTTATTGTTTTATTTTGGAAAAATTCTGATATAACAAAAACCGCAGAACTTTAGTCGTATTGCAGTATTTTATTTCATTAATTTCTCTGCTAATAAACCAGTATAAAGTGGATGTGGATTGTAATTTGTATTCAGAAATTAATATATTTGGAGATAATTAAAACTGATCAAATCTGAAAAATCTAATTAACCGGGTTTTAGAAATTTGTGGAACTTTGTTACTTTTTCCATGTTTTTCACATTTTTCGTAAAACTTTATGGTCATTGAGCACCCCCTAAACATTATCTGATCGGAAAGATTTTTTGCACAGTTAATTAATATGTCAAATGGCACAAAATAAACAACTATGCAATCAAATCTGAAAAAAAAAATTTTTTTGGACAG